TCCAACCAGAAAAGCTCCTGGGGGTCTGAAAAAGCAGATCAGGACATTTCGCAGTGGCAGAGGTTCTCCAATGGTTGCACACTGCAGAAGAGCTGTCTGGGAACCAGACTGCTGCACTGCAGCAGAGTCTTCTTCTCCCTCCCTCCCCTGAGCCGTGGGTGCAGGTATGTGTACGTGTGGGTGGAGAGGGCTGCAGTGTGGGTTTGTTTTGATAGAGGAATCTCTGTCTGCAAATGGCAGCTGCAGGTTGGATGGAGACTCAGGGAAGGGATCTGGAAGGGTTTGGTCCTATGTCCGGCTTCAGCTTGGAAAGGAGATGGTGAAAACAGGGGTGTGATGTGGCTGGAGGGTAGACAGGGATCATTGTCACTACCTCCTCCAGCCAAAGAGTCGGGGGACATCAAAAGAACTTGTGGGGACCAGAAGCCAAAGGAAGAAGCTCTGCACAGTGTGCTGGCAACTCCCCACTGCAGGATGTTTTGGGGGCTGACCATTTCTATGGCTTCAAGAGAAGCCCAGGCAGATCCACGGCTGGGAGGGCCACTGACGTGTGCTGCACAGTCTGCTGTAGGGATGCACGGCGATGGCTGAGGGTTTAGGAAAAGTGGGGCAGTGGCAGAGATGCATGTCCTACCTCCTCAGGATCTGCTTTTGGCTGTTATTAGACACATGAGAAAGATGGAGTTTTGATGTGACCCATTTCAGCTGCCCCAAATTCCCTGCATCCCTGCGACTGGAGGGATGCACATCCCTGAGTCACTGTGTTGGAGGGATGTGCTTCCCTCCATCCCTGTGTCTGGAGGGATGTGCTTCCCTGCATTCTTGTGTCGACTGAGTCGCTGTGTTGGAGGGATGTGCTTCCCTCCATCCCTGTGTCTGGAGGGATGTGCTTCCCTGCATTCTTGTGTCTGGAGGGATGCACATCCCTGAGTCACTGTGTTGGAGGGATGTGCTTCCCTCCATCCCTGTGTCTGGAGGGATGTGCCTCCCTCCATCCTGATATCTGGAGGGATGCAATTCCCTGGCCCCCTATGTCCGGAGGGATGCACTTCCCTCCATCCCGGTGTCTGGAGGGATGCAAGTCCCTGCATCCCTGTGTCTGGAGGGATCCTCTTCCCTCCATCCCGGTGTCCAGAGGGATGCTCTTCCCTCCATCCCGGTATCTGGAGGGATGCATCCATCCTGATATCTGGAGGGATGCACTTCCCTCCATCCCGGTGCCCAGAGGGATGCATGTCCCTGCATCCCTGTGTCTGGAGGGATGCTCTTCCCTCCATCCCGGTGTCTGGATGGATGCTCTTCCCTCCATCCCTGTGTTTGGAGGGATGTGCTTCCCTCCATCCCGGTATCTGGAGGGATGCACTTCCCTGGAACCTTATGTCCAGAGGGATGCACATCCCTGCGTCCCCGTGTCTGGAGGTTTGCATGTCCCTCCATCCCAGTGTCTGGAGGGATGCACGTCCCTGCATCCCTGTGTCTGGAGGGATGCTCTTCCCTCCATCCCTGTGTCTGGAGCTCAGGCCTGGGCTGGGAATTTAAACGTACCGGAGCACCGGGGACTGCAGATCTCATTCCTGGGCATCTCTCCCTTCTTCCTTCCCTTTGTCTCTCCCTCTCTTTCTTCTCCCTTCGCCGCCCCGCTCCCTCCATCTGACCGTGGCCCCCCCCCTCCCCTCGGCAGTCCCGGGGAGGAGAGTGGGGATGCTGCAATTCCCAGGCACAGGTGCGCGGTCCCCGCCGCGCGCTGCCCCCAGGCACGGCCCCCGCCGCCGCAGCTGACAGCCCACTGGAAATAATGTGTTGTGGCAGAGAGAGACTCAACAGACCACGAAGATCTGCTGGTGCGGGAACTGCTCAGCAACCAGGAGCCGCAAACGCCTGTCTCCCGGCTCCGCGGGGCCTGATCCGGCTCTGGGGATGCCTCCGCTCCGGTGGAGCCTGCCTGGCTCGCACGCCGGGCACTTTACCACCCTCTCCCCTTCTTTTTCTTGGCCTTTTCTTCTTCTCCTCCCTGGCTGTCCCTCTCCGCAGCATTAGGGAGGTGGAAGCAGCCTGTCCCCGCCGCCTGTCCCCCCGCACCGCCGGGCACAGGAGGGGAACGAAGGGCTTTCGCAGCAGCGTTGGAGGAGGAGGAGGAGGAGGACCAGGTGTGCAGGAATGGAACAACCAGTTCCAGTCTCCCAGCAAAGATTTAATCTGCCCCTGGCACATAAACAGCAAATGTTTGTTCAACTGACCTGCGAACAGGCGGCGTGCACGGCAGCGGGGCCGAGGCGCCCGGCTCCCCGCTCAGCAGGGTGGGGGTACGGGGAGATGGGGCCAGGGACCGGGGCACAGCCACATCCAGGGTGCTCGGGGCAGCCCAGGCTGGGTGGCTGGGGCCAGGGAGAAGATGCTCAGAGGGACCCTGTCCTGCCCAGCCGCTGCCGTGTCCCTTCTGCTCCCCGGAGCGTCCCAGCGGGCGCGCAGAGCTCTGGTGGCCGTGACGCAGGCAGAAAGTGTCTGAGGGCTCAAGGACGAGCGTGTCCCTCCGGGCAGGCTGGCGCTCGCTGCAGAGAACCTGCAGGCAGGAGGCCCTGAGCTGTGCCTGCACGTCCTGCTGCAATGGGGGAAATCAGCCTCGGGTGCTGCAGGTCAGGTCTGCACCCCTGGAGCCCCCCTCAAATCCCAGGGGACACGGGTTCATTTACAAGGGGACGTTTTCGCCTGTTTTCCACAAGACCAGATCTTCATGGCAGGGTTGGCTTCCAGCTCAAGCGACACGTGGGCAGGCAGGGGGTTGTCCCCAAACCCTGCCGGCAGCTCAGCCTGCCCCATGGGCTCCTGCGCCGCGCTGGGGAAGCCACATCAGGGCTTGTTCCTTGTCCCCATAGCAGGTGGGAGATGCTCTCTGCTGTTTGATGACAAAGCTCAGGAAGAAACTGGAAAGGGTCTCATGTAGGTCCTATTCCCTCTCCCACCACATGAATGCTCTCATCAAGGTGATGCCCCTTGGTGCCAGCGGTGAGGAAGATGGGTAGCAGAGCACAGAGCATCCTTCAGCTGGTGGGACTGTCCCCAGGGCCACCATCCTGCAGGGCATGCAGTGTCCCAGGCTGCAGCCAGAGCGGTGACGGGTACCTGAGCGGGATGCTCAGGGGAGGAAGGATGGGGCCATGGGGTGACCTGCCAGCCCTGAGGACATGGGCTGGCCAAGGGGAGCCACCTCCTGGGGCCATATGGCTACCTGCCTCCTCGTGTGGTGAGGCTGCCATGTGAGCCCCTTCCCTGCCCATCTCACTCTGATCCCAGCTCTTCAGCCTTGCTGTCCCTGTCTCCCCTGGGAGCTGCACTGCTCCCCCCCGGCCCCTGGGCCATGGGTAGAAGGATGTGGGCTACTGCTGGGCACACTCCAGTCCAGTGGGGAGTCCTCTGCCCATCACAGAGGCTGTCAGGTCCCAGAGCCACCACCTGGACCTGACTCTGGGCAGCTCCTGGTCCTGGCTGCCCAAAGCCGTGGCATGCCCTGGAGTGTGGAGACACATTCTTTCCCTTCCCATCACACAAAACTTGTCTCCACCTCCCCAAAAGCTGAGGACCAGATTGTTTCCGTGAACGGCCCCAGTTGCAGTAACTTGGAGATGCTTCTGCCCTTTTCTCCTTCTTGAGCTCTGCATTCCCACGCCAGCCCGGTTGCGGGGTCTTCTGGGGTAGAGCTCTGCCCTGGGACCTGCCACCTCCAGGAAGGATTTGGCCGTAAGAACTGAGCCCCACGGATGCAGAACGAGCCCTCAAGTTTGCTGCCCTCCCCAGGAGAGATGCAGGGTTTTGTTCTGATGGGGAAGAGGCTGTCGAGTCCCTGCAGGGCAGAGCGGCGTCTGGAGGGGTGACACAGGCACGGGCACCCTGTTGGGAGCCCTGCAACTGCAGGAGGTTGCTGCTGGGCCATCTGTGGCCAGCAATTTTGTGAGCATGGAGCAGATCCGGCTCCTGGGGCAGGCAGGGTGATGGGCTGTGGGACTGGCACGTCCCCCTATCCCCAGGGGGGCTGCGGTGGGGGGCACACAAGGGCCAGCCTTGCTCTGGGGGCTGAGGGGGGATATTTCCCAAACATTTCAATCTTGGGCAAAACACTTGGAAGTGGGGAGGTGTGTTTCAGCCCGGATTGGTTTTCCAGGCTGGATCACCCCTGTCCTGGCACAGGCAGGGGATACAGGAGAGGGCCAGCCCCCGCAGCAGGGAGGCAGGGCTGCCTTTCCAGCAGCACCCCCAGGTTAAAGGCAGTCTGTCCGCAGCCTCTCCCCGTGCAGTCTGTCCATCCACCCTCCTCTTTGCACCACGGCTGCAGATGGGTGCGCGGGGCTGCAGGTGGCTGCGTTTAGCCCAGCTCTGCACCAGCTTCGGTGCATTACATTTGGAACATCTCAGCCAGCTCCACATTTGGAGCATCTCAGCCGGCTCCGGCCCTGTGGCACCCCAGGAGACAGCAGAGATGCACAGGTCCCTGCCCGGCTCGGGGTTTAGGGCTTTGGGTGTGTTTTTCCTCTGTTTTTTTCCTCTAGAGGATATTTGTCCTGGGCTGGGCTGGGGCTGCCCCAGGGAGGCTCAGGCCGGGCGGGCAGGTCGCCTGGGAGCTTCAATGTCAGCTCGAGGTGGTTGAGCTTCAACGCCTTTAATAGTGTTTGTTTTCCTTTTCCTCTGGGGTGGTTTGACAAAAGAGGGTTAAAAATGGGGCCAGCCTCTACAGGCACACCAACAGGGTTTGGGCAAAAATTCCATCACTGGCCTGGGCTTTAAATCCCAAAATTGGGAGTTCCAGACCAAGGTCCCAGCAGCTCCTCTCCCTGGGGCCAGGAGGTTCCCATGGGCAGAGCCACCTCCTCGGGGAGCCACAGGGACAGCTCACCAGCTCCGTGCTGTCCTTCTTCCAGGGCACACAGTGGTTCCTGGAGAGGTGTGGGAAGATTCACGCACCGTGCCCCTCCGATCCCAGAGGGAACCATCTCCAGGCACCCGCCACCATGTCCAAGGACGACGTGGGCTGCAAGCTGACCTCAGTCTACAAGCACAAGGAGAGGAAGCCGAAAAAGCCCCACTACATCCCGAGGCCATGGGGCAAGCCATACAACTACAAATGCTTCCAGTGCCCCTTCACCTGCATGGAGAAGTCCCACCTCTACAACCACATGAAGTACAGCCTGTGCAAGAACTCCCTCTCCCTCCTCATCGAGTCCGACTGGCCCTACAAGAAGGGCAACCTGCTCCACCCGGAGCTGCGGCTCCTGCACGCGACCGAGACCTCCCGCCTGCGCGGGCGGCGGGACGAGCAGGAGACCTGCGACTCTTCGGCCACGTCGGGAGGGTCAGTTAGGACCAAGCAAACCTCTGGCAGGGATGGCCATGAGGACAAGCCAGCCTCAGGAGTGGAGATCCTGCCTGCTGAGGGGGCTGGTGAAGAAAGTGGTCCATTCCAAGAGGAGGAGGAGGATGTTGCTGGCCTGTTGAGGGAGATGGATGCGGGGGAGAAGAAAGAGAAAAATGAAGAGGCAGGTTGCCAGGGTGACCCAGCTGAACCAGAAATGAACACTTTGGTCTTTGGTTTCAAGAACAAGAGGGATAAGCCTTGCAAGGAGGTGGAGCCCGACTTCATCATCACAGATGTCTTCTCCCTCAAGAACCACGTCATGAAAAGCAGGGAAATGGCCTCCCCAGACCTAGATGCTAAGCCAAAGCATTGCAAAGTGCCAAAGAAATGCCTGGCCAGCAGTGGCATCGTCATGGAGCAGTGGAAGCTGGTGGCAAATGGGCAAAGGAGGAACACACCTGAGGTCTCCCCACCTTGTACCGACAGCAACATCATCCCGTGCTACCCTCCTCCAGCCTACAGCGACTACCATGAACCTCAGGGCCTCAACCTCTCACTGCTGGGTATTAACTACCCATTGAACCCCAGTCTATTCTCCTACCTGAGCCCCACCATGGCCAACAGCACTACAACACACCCACACTTGGCTCAGCTGCCCTTCCTGGCCTCCACGGCCCAGCTGATGCACCCACATGCCTCCCACTTCCAGCCTCTGCAGAGCGCCGAGCGCTCCGCCTTCCTTCCCCGTTTCTACTACCCTTTGCTCTTCGAGCACACCTTCGGCTCCACAGAAAGCAAGATGTCCTCCAGCAAGCCAGAAGCCCAGCCACTGGTGGGCTCCGTCATGCCCACACCACCCCAAGCCAAGGCCCCTGGTGAGCCAACCAAACCAGGGCTGCTGAAGGTACCAGTTCTGAAGACAAGTTTTCCCTGGTCCAAAGGGGTCAGAGAGGAGCCAGCCTCTGAGCTCAGCCTCCCCACCACGCTGGGGCAGGAAGAAGAGGAAAAATGGTTGTCTCAAGAGAAGGACAGCAACCCAGCTTTGGGCCTCAACAACCTACGCAAAAAGCCAGCCACTGACATCTACCAAAATCTGGTGGGGATGAAGGACAGCGCTTTTGCCCCCAGCAGCATCCGGAAGACAGAGTTACCGGTGGTGACCTGCCTGGAGACCAGCAGTCCTCCAGGCAACCCCTTGAAGAGGAAGTTCACTGCCAATGGGCTGGATTTGATAGGACCCGAAAGGCTGATGCCTGGAAAACTCAGCTACCAGAGCAGGTAAGGTGCCTGTGATCTCTCTGCCTCTTCCACCCATCTGGTTGGCCCTAAACCTCATCTTCATATCATCTGATCCCCTCACCTCCCTCTAAACCATGAGATGAGTCTCCAAGGGCTGAGCACACACCAGGCTGGTGCCCACTCAGAGCAGAGCTTTCTGCTCTCCAGGAACAGAGGACCTGAATAGCCTTCAGGTGCACCTGAGCACCTGGGCTGTGTCACCACTTGCTGTCCCTCTCTTTCCCCTGTTTTACACAGAGCCAGAAGTGATGTGATGTCTGTGTGGTGTGGACCTGCGCTGTGGCCTTTCGTGCCAGGAAATCTCCTCTTGGGTCCCCAGATATCCCACGGCTGCTGGAACAATCATTGCCTATTTTTAAACATACACATTTGCATTCCTTTGATTTGCCTTCTGGTTTCAAAGCCCAGAGGGAGGGTCACGTTTCCAAACATTTCCTTTTACCTGGGGCTAGAAATGTGCACAGCTCCTTTTAACAAAATTTCAGTTCCTCCCCTGGTTGCACAAGTCCAGCTGCGGCTCCAAGAAAAATGTCACTGTAAATCCACCACTTTTGGCACCTGGAGGAGCTTTCTTTGGAGAAGGCCTCCATGGTTTTGTATCTCCACCTGCCTCTTGCCTGCTGGCTGGCTGGAGAGATCCCCTTCAGCTGGGCCTTCAGGACTGTGGGATGGTCATTTCCATCAAAGTTCTCCAGTGCTCCAAGAAGGAGGAGAATTCAGGTTTGGCTAGCTGAGGTGGGATCACCTATCAACACTGTCTCCCCAGACTGGTCTCTCCTTTTGGTGGGTGTTATGGAGTAGCCTGTGTCAGGGTCCATCCACCTCCTCAGAGAACGATGGCAGGAGCAAGTCCAGCCAGGGCTCTGCATGCTCAGACCAAAGCCCTTCCTGGAAGGGCCTCATGCTGGCAGTAGGCAGTGGAGGAACCCTGGCTGAATCTGGCAATGCTGGCCCTGGACGCATGCCCCAAGGATTTTCTATCTCTTTCCCTACTGATTGTATTCACTTCTTCTCTGCAGTGGTTCAAGGGCCAACCCTGGCCACATCCCCAAGGCCCTGGACCACTGGCACATGGAGGTCCTCACAGGCCAGCCTGAGGAACCAGAGAGAGGCAGTGACACTGAAGTTCTTCCCTCTGTGGGTGCTGGCCTGGACCATGGTCTCTGCAAGCAGAGCAGATCCCAAGAGACTTCTGCCACCATGACAGACCCTGAGGCCACGACCGTGCTTATTGGGGACCTGTCCAAAACCTTAGAGGAGTACCAAGAAGTGGAGAAGAAACTGTCCGATTTGGCAAAGGAGGACACTCCTGGGCAAAAAGAGCTGAGGGACCAGCTGGTCAAAATCCGAAGGGAGCTCTACCACATTCACCAGGCACTGGAGAAAGCCACCAAACCCCATGAGGGGCCACTGGACCTCTCAGTGAAGAGATCCTCTGAAGGTCTGGAGAAGATCCAGCAGGCCAAGAAGGAGCCCTGCAACATGAACCTGGGAAGTGAGAAGCTCCACGGCAAAGACCAAGGGGCCCTCAACAAGTGTACGGCCACCGGGGAGGCAGGAGACATGGAGGGGCTGCCGAACTGCCTCCTCGAGGCCGAAAACAAAACCATCGACCTGCTGATCAAGATGAGCCGCTCTGAGAGCCTCCGGGCATCCTCCTCCGAGGCCCACCTGGGCGCTGTGATCAAGGCTGAGGTCCTGCCACTCACCATGCCCCTGGAGCTCCGGCACGTGATGGAGCCCTACTACAGCCGTACCACCAAGTGTGAGGCAGACTCCAGCGTCCTGCTGTGCTCCGACAGCAGATCCAGCACCACCCAGGCCCCCCAGCTCCCGGTCACCGCTGAGGATGGGCCCCTGGGCTGCCGGGCCATGCAGCGCTCCCTGTCCTGCAGCCTTCCCAGTGAGACAGACACAGTGTGTGTCCACAGCCCTCTGCATGCCGACCCCTAAGTCCACCTCGTTTGAAAACTCCTGGATCTCACTGACCACCTCATTGCTTCACCTTCCTAGTGTCCCACCTCTCTGCTCCCCTTCTTCCCCCCACGATGAAAGCCTGGCTGGGGCCACGTTGCGTTGGGTTCCCAGCTAGCTTCCCCGGCTGACTCCACGAGGTATAAAAAACCAGTCCCTGTCCTGACACCCCATCAAGGATGGTGCTGCCGGGCTCTGCATGCTCCACAGCCTCAGCTCCATGGTCCTGGAGCTCCCTTCAAAAGGGAAGTCACTAAGACAAGAAAACCACTAAAAGCACCAAGGTTTCAGCAGAAGGCTCATCCAGCCCTCTCCTTAGAGACACTCAGGGACTTTTGCCACCCAGCTCCCATGACCTGTGGACAGGGGAGGGACTACAGGGTGTCTACAGGGCCAGGCCTGCATCCAGCTGTGGTTATGCTCAAGCAGACTGTGGCTGTCACCTTGTACAGAGCAAAGACATGGTGGCTTCTCCCCATAGTGGCTTCAGGGTCACAGCAGGGAATCAGGTGCCCATCTGGACTGACCCAGAGACCAAGTACTTTCCACATTGTGGAGACAAGAACATCCTCCCAGCCACAAGATGACACAGGAACCACCTTGCCACACCTCCACACCTGGGTCCTGAGCTCTCCTGCCAAGGGCATTTGCCACATGTGGGGACTGCTGAGCTGTGGGGACTTGTTCCTGCCCACTGGTCCTCCAGTGTCTGACTCCTTCTTTTTAGCTTTTACACAGAAAGGACCTTCCCTCCCTCTGCTCCCATGGCCTCTCCCCATGCAGACATGATGCATGTTCCTCATGAAGGTCCCATCCCTGCAGAGCTCAGTTCCCACAAGCTCCTGCCCACTACACCTAATCCCCCAAAGGGTGACACATGGGACAGCAAAATTAGCAACACGATGCTGCCACGAACTCCACTGCTCAAGGGACAAAGACCCTAAAAATAACTGTGAAGGGACAGACTTGGCCAAGACTTGGCCAAGATGGAACGATGCTGGGCATCCACCCCTCAGCCAGAGCACGGCAGAGGTAACCACCCAGGCAGGTATCTGCTTGTGGGATGAGCGCTGGCCCTCCTGAAAGGCCACCTTCTCCCCATCCTCACTGGGGGCTCTTCCCTGGTACCCACCACAGGGCAGTCATGCCTTCTTGTCCCCTGCCACCCTGCTGAGCAGCATCTACTCTGGCTCAGGATGGGCCAGGATTTCTTGGACTCCCTCCTACTGTGAGAGGTTTAACATGTCCTCCTCATCTTGGCAAAGCCAGGAACCCTCTCTTCTCCCCTCCACACTCCCTCTTCAGAAGATGGTGGGGTCTCCTGTTAGCACCTAGGTCCTCCACTGCAACTTGACATGCAATGAGAAGAGCCAGGATGGGGGGTGGGAGATCAGGACAAAAGAGGACTGTGAGCAAAGCCACAAATAAGGGACCAACATAGGACACCAAGGAAGATTTAGACACTGGCTCTTCTCTGGGCGATGGACAATCCTACTGCAGGTGGCTGAAGAAGGAAAGGCCCCACATGGGACCTGGGACTCCCAAGGACTTTGATGGACCCAGACAACATGAAGAGTTGACTCTTCTCACCTGGTTGCTCTCTGGACAAAGATTTTACCTCATCAAAGGGGTTTATTTCTCACTCAAGGATTTGCTTAGGGCACACAGGCCTGTTGAGTTATTGGTTGGTCTCTTCTCTCTGGAGAAAAGTGTGGGGTGGGGGAGCATTCAAAAGGAGGGATGGTCAATTCAGCACCGTGGCTCTTTTAAGCCAGCTCCGGATCTTCCTGATGGCCCACGTCCTGCTGCTTCCCAGCATGGCCCTGGCCCCACAAAGGCCAAGTGAAGGTCATGAGATGCCACCAGAACAGATCCCAGGGCCTGGGTGCATGATCCTCCATCCCAGAGCCCAGGGGAGGTGACGTTGGGCCTTTCCTTCTGGGTTTGACTAGTGCTTTCCTCTTTGGATGCCATAATGCCATCATCTGCCACCCTGTGCCCTTCTGTCACCCACCCCTTCCCAACCCCGTCACTCAGACAGCCCTGGCAGCCACTGTCCCCCACGCCTCCCCCCACATCCCCTGTCCCATATCTCAGGGCTCCCTATTCTCCCCCCAACCAGCTTCTCTGTGCACACCAGGACCCCCATCCAGCACACAGCAAGGCACCCACCAGCACAGCCAAGAAACTGGAGTTGGGATTTTGGGGTTCTTTTTTTCGCCACTATTCTCCATCACGGAGCCACACCTTTCCCAGTTTTGAAGGCTCAGGATTAGCCACCAGCAAGATCTGGCCAGATGTTGACACTGGCTGCCCATGGTCAGTATTTACATGGGTGGGTTTTGATTTTTGGATCAGCATTGGGACCCCACTGGCTTCTCCCATGCTTGGGAGTTGGGCAGTCTGCCATTTTTTGCCATGAAATTTTGTTCCCGTGAAGGTCTGCCAAATTGTCCCGTGACATTCTCCGCTGCCCACCCAGCCCTTGCCTCCTCTGAGGAACAAGAGGACGTGTGGGTTCCTCTGCCCACCCTAGAGCCCCATCTCCTTCCAGCCCCAGGCATTTCCTTAGCAGATCCCCACCTAACTTGGGCACCTTGGAGGTCCAAGACACCAGAGGAGTAGCTGAGCTCTGTGACCAGCAGCCCTGGCCTTCAGCAGGAGATCGGACCACCAGGCAGCACTGCCTTTCACCCCTTTTTAGCTGAGATATTGCTTGCACACCGGTCACCTCTCCCTCCCCAGCCCCTGGCTCCATCCTGCCACCCCAAGCTGGGGTGATGCCCTGCTCCGTGGTGCCCACCCTGGGAGCTGGGCACTTCTCCCACCCCACGGCACTCATGGTCTCCCTCGCCTCTGCAGAAAGCCAAGCCGGGGCAGGGGGGCACCTTGGAGGTCCAAGACACCAGAGGGGTAGCTGAGCTCTGTGACCAGCAGCCCTGGCCTTCAGCAGGAGATCGGACCACCAGGCAGCACTGCCTTTCACCCCTTTTTAGCTGAGATATTGCCTGCACACCGGTCACCTCTCCCTCCCCACCCCCTGGCTCCATCCTGCCACCCCAAGCTGGGGTGATGCCCTGCTCCGTGGTGCCCACCCTGGGAGCTGGGCACTTCTCCCACCAGTGGAGCCGGTTCCTGCAGCCCTCATGGCACTCATGGTCTCCCTCACCTCTGCAGAAAGCCAAGCCGGGGCAGGGGGAACAAGTGGGAGGTGGAGGCCGATCACACAGTATTTATTGTTCACAGTTTTACGAATGTACAAAACAAAAACCAAACCATTAAAGGGAAAACCTGCGAGCAGGAGTTGCTGGTGTCCACTTTGTTCTGCTCTCCCCGGGGAGCCCTGCCTGCTCCAGCCAGACCCCACAGTGGCCCCGTGCCACCACTCGCCATCATGGAGCCATGCATTTCCCGGTTTTGGAGGCTCAGGATTAGCCACCAGCGGATTTCCCAGTTTTGGAGGCTCAGGATTAGCCACCAGCGGGATGTATCCAGACGTTGACAATGGCTGCACGTGGTCAGTATTTATGTGGGTGGGTTTTGACTGTTTTCCTTCTGCTGGATCAGCACTGGGACCCCATCGGCTTGTCCTGTGCTGGGGAGAGGAGCAGTCCACCATGTCTGAAGGCAGTTGTCAGGAGGAGAAATGCCCTCACAGGAGCCATGAGGGTCCTTACTGCTCCCCCAGAAGTCCCTGCACACACACACAGCCTTTTCCATCCAAAACAGGCAGCCCTTGATGAGCTCCCATGGCTGGGCCATGGGGCCACTGTGCCGCAGGCCAGGTCCTGGTCCAGGGAAGAGCAGAGGAGGGTCAAGTCCCATGTCTTCAGTGTCATTCCACCGCTCAGACCTTGTCCCCAGGGGTGCTGGTGACAGCCCCACAAAGGGGACACCTCCCCTCCCTGCCTTGCCATGGCTGTCCAGGACAGTCCCCTGCTCAGGGACTCCTGCCCATGGGCCACCAGGATGGGACCTTCAGGAGGTGGCCAAGCTGGTGGCACCATTCCAGTTGAAAAGATGAAAGCATTTAAATAATGGATGGGAGCTGAACTGCTGGGGTGGCTTATCCAGGCTGCAATCTGCACCCCCAGGGCCCTCAGCCCACTCCAGCACTGGGCCCATTACACGGCTATTTGGTCACCCTAAAGGCATCTTATAGCGAGCCATTACCTGCCCTTTACGGCAGGCCCACACGATAGCCATCTTTCTTGGTCATGGTTGACTAAAGTCCCCCTACGTGCATGTCCCCCCTACTTCCCTGCCAAGCCAAGCCCAGTCCCAATCACCAGCTGGAGGACTCAGCCAAATCCCTCCCCTGCCCTGCTGAGGCCAGCAGCCCCCCTTCTCCTGGGAAAAGGGGGACATGGGGTCACAGCAGGTTCCAGGCACAGCTCGGAGCCCAGCAGCTCTTGGTCAATGGAGCTGCACACCTTTATGAGTTTCTGACCCCAGGTGGGTACAGCTGCTCCTGCTCAAGTATTCCTTCTCCTCCGGGTTCAAGAGCAAAGGAGAGCTCAGAGGTTGGGAGGGGGAGAAGTTTCCTAATAAACAAGCCCTCAGGGGGATGTATCCAGACGTTGACAATGGCTGCACGTGGTCAGTATTTATGTGGGTGGGTTTTGACTGTTTTCCTTCTGCTGGATCAGCACTGGGACCCCATCGGCTTGTCCTGTGCTGGGGAGAGGAGCAGTCCACCATGTCTGAAGGCAGTTGTCAGGAGGAGAAATGTCCTCACAGGAGCCATGAGGGTCCTTACTGCTCCCCCAGAAGTCCCTGCACACACACAGAGCCTTTTCCATCCAAAACAGGCAGCCCTTGATGAGCTCCCATGGCTGGGCCATGGGGCCACTGTGCCGCAGGCCAGGTCCTGGTCCAGGGAAGAGCAGAGGAGGGTCAAGTCCCATGTCTTCAGTGTCATTCCACCGCTCAGACCTTGTCCCCAGGGGTGCTGGTGACAGCCCCACAAAGGGGACACC